TTGCATTTCCATGATAATTAATGATGTGGCGCATCTTTTCATGTGCCTGTTGGCCATCTGAAATTCTTCTTTGGAGAACTGTCTGTTCATATCCTCCACCCATTTTTTAATCAGATTACTTGCTTTTTGGGTGTTGAGGCATGTGAGTTCTGTATATATTTTGGATTTAAACCCGTTGTCAGGTATGTCGTTTACAAATATATTCTCCCATACTGTAGGATGACTTTTTGTTCTGTTGATGGTGTCCTTTGCTGTACAAAAGCTTTTTAGTTTGGTGTAGTCCCATGTGTTCATTTTTGCTTTTGTTTCCCTTGCTCGAGGAGATGCATTCAGGAAAAAGTTGCTCATGTTTATATTCAGGAGATTTTTGCCTATGTTGTCTTCTAAGAGTTTTATGGTTTCATGACTTATGTTCAAGTTTTTGATCCATTTTGAGTTTATGTTTGTGTATGGGGATAGACAATAATCTAGTTTCATTCTCTTGCATGTAGCTGTCCAGTTTTGCCAACACCAGTTGTTGAAGAGGCTGTCATTTCCCCACTGTATGCTTATGACTCCTTTATCATATATTAATTGACCATATATGCTTGGGTTTATATCTGGGCCATCTAGTCTGTTCAATTGGTCTATTGGTCTGTTCTTGTGCCAGTACCAAATTCTCTTGATTACTGTGGCTTTGTAGTAGAGGTCAAAGTCGGGGAGTGTAATTCCCCCTGCTTTATTCTTCCGTCTCAGGATTGCTTTGGCTATTCAGGGTCTTTTGTGGTTTCATATGAATTTTAGAACTATTTGCTCTGGTTTGTTGACAAATGCTGTTTGGCATTTTCACAGGGATTGCATTGAATCTGTAGATTGCTTTAGGCAGGATAGCCATTGTAACAATATTAATTCTTCCTACCCATGAGCACAGAATGTGCTTCCATTTACTGGCATCTTCTTTGATTTCTCTCGAGTGTCTTCTAGTTTTCAGAGTATAGGTCTTTCACTTCTTTAGTTAGGTTTATTCCTAGGTATTTTATTCTTTTTGATGCAGTTGTGAATAGAATTGTTTTCCTGATTTCTCTTTCTTCTAGTTCATCATTAGTGTATAGGAATGCAACAGATTTCTGTGTATTAATTTTGTATGCTGCAACTTTGCTGAATTCAGATATTAGATCTAGTAGTTTTGGAGTGGATTCTTCAGGGTTTTTTATGTACAATATCATGCCATCTGCAAACAGGGACAGTTTAACTTCTTCTTTACAAATCTGGATGCCTTTTAGTTCTTTGTCTTGTCTGACTGTCATGGCTAGGACCTCCAGAACTATATTGAATAAAAGTGGAGAGAGCAGGCATCCTTGTCTTATTCCCGATCTTAAAGGAAAGACTTTCAGCTTCTCACTGTTAAGTATGATATTAGATGTGGGTTTGTCATATATGGCCTTTATTCTGTTGAGGTACTTGCCCTCCATACCCATTTTGTTGAGAGTTTTTATCATGAATGGATGTTGAATTTTGTCAAATGCTTTTTCAGTGTCTATTGAGATGATCATATGGTTTTTGTCCTTTTTGTTTGTGGTGGATGGTGTTAATGATTTTCGAATGTTGTACCATCCTTGCAACCCTGAGATGAATCCCATTTGGTCATGGTGTATGATCCTCTTGATGTGTTTTTGAATTTGGTTTGCTAATATTTTGTTGAGTATTTTTGCATCTATGTTCATCAGGGATATTGGTCTGTAATTTTCTTTTTTGGTGAGGTCTTTGCCTGGTTTAGGTATAAGGGTGATGCTGGCTTCACAGAATGAGTTGGGGAATATTCCCTCCTCTTCTAGTTTTTGGAAAACTTTAAGAAGAATGGGTATTATGTCTTCTTTGTATGTATGATAAAATTCCACAGTAAATCCATCTGGCCCGGAGGTTTTATGTTTAGGTCGTTTTTTGATTACCAATTAAATTGCATTGCTAATAATTGGTCTGTTCAGATTTTCTGTTTCTTTCTCAGTCTGCCTTGGAAGGTGGTTTTTTTCTAGAAACTTGTCTATTTCTTCTAGGTGATCCAGTTTGCTAGCATATAATTTTTCATAGTATTCTCCAAGAATTCTTTGCATTTCTGTGGTGTCCATAGTGATTTTTCCTTTCTCATTTTTTATTCTGTTTATGTGTGTAGACTCTCTTTTTTTATTGGTGGGTCTGGCTAGGGGTTTATCTATTTTGCTTATTTTCTCAAAGAACCAGCTCCTGCTTTCATTGATTCTTTCTATTGTTTTATTCTTCTCGATTTTATTTATTTCTGCTCTAATCTTTATTATGTCCCTCCTTCTACTAACTTTGGCCCTCATTTGTTCTTCTTTTTCTAGTTTCATTAATTGTGAGTTTAGATTGTTCATATGGGATTGTTCCTCAACCCACAGATTTTGCGGTGTTGAATTATTGTTGTCATCTGTCTCCATATATTGCTTGATCTGTTTTTATTTGGTCATTGATCCACTGGTTATTTAGGAGCATGTTGTTAAGCCTCCATGTGTTTGTGGGATTTTTCATTTTCTTTGCATAATTTATTCCTAGTTTCATACCTTTGTGGTCTGAGAAGCTGGTTGGTATAATTTCAATCTTTCTGAATTTACCAAGGCTCTTTTTGTGGCCTAGTATATGATCTATTCTTGAAAGTGTTCCATGTGCACTTGAGAAGAATGTGTATCCTGCTGCTTTTGGGTGTAGAGTTTTACAGATGTTTGTTAGGTCCATCTGCAACTCCTGATTTTTTCTCCCTATTAGTTGCAGATATTAGAAACATCTTTTTCCATACCTTCACTTTTAGTCTGTGTATGTCTTTGGGTTTGAAGTGAGTCTCTTGTAGGGTCTTGTTTTTTTATCCATTCAGTGACTCTATGTCTTTTGATTGGTGTGTTCAGACCATTTACATTTAGGGTGATTATCGATAGCTATGTACTTATTGCCATTGCAGGCTTTAGATCTGTGGTTACCAAAGGTTCAAGGGTAACTTCCTTACTATCTAAGAGTCTAACTTAACTCACTTAGTATGCTATTACAAACACAGTTGAAAGGTTCTTTTTTTTTCTCCTCCTTTTCTTCCTCCTCCATTATTTATATATTAGGTATCGTATTCTGTACTCCTTGTCTATATCCCTTGAGTGACTTTGGGGGTAGTTGATTTAATTATGTATTTGTTTAGTAATTAACTGTTCTACTTTCTTAACTGTGGTTTTATTACCTCTGGTGACAGCTATTCAACCTTAGGAACACTTTCATCTATAACAGTCCCTCCAAAATACAGTGTAGAGACAGTTTATGGGAGGTAAATTCTCTCAGCTTCTGCCGATCTGGAAATTGTTTAATCCCTTCTTCAAATTTAAATGATAATCTTGCCAGATATAGTATTCTTGGTTTAAGGCCCTTCTGCTTCACTGCATTAAATATATCATGCCACTCCCTTCTGGACTGTCATGTTTCTGCTTAGGAATATGATGATAGCCTGATTGGTTTTCCTTTGTACATGATCTTTTTTCTCTCTCTGGCTTCTTTTAATAGTCTGTCCTTATCCTTGATCTTTTCCATTTTAATTATTATATGTCCTGGTGTTGTCTTCCTTGGGTCCCTTGTATCAGGAGATCTGTGCAACTTCATGGCCTGAGAGACTATCTCCTTCCCCTGATTGGGGAAGTTTTCAGCAATTACTTCCTCAAAGACACTTTCTATCCCTTTTTCTCTCTCTTTTTCTTCTGATACCTCTATAGTAAGAATATTGTTCCATTTGGATTGGTCACACAGTTCTCTCAGTGTTCTTTCATTCCTAGAGATCCTTTTTTCTCTCTGTGCCTCAGCTTCTTTGTATTCCTCTTCTCTAATTTCTATTTCATTTATCATCTCCTCCACCATATCTAATCTGCTTTTAAAACCCTCCATTGTGTTCTAATGATTGGATCTCCATCCTAAATTCATTCCTGAGTTCTTGAATATTTTTCTGTACCTCCAGGAGCATGTTTAAGATTTTTATTTTAAAATCTCTTTCAGGAAGATTGATTAGTTCAGTCTCACTTGACCCTTTTTCTGCTTTTTGTGAGATTTTGCTTTGAACCAGTTTCCTTTAATGTTTCATATTTGTATGTGGCACCCTTGAGTGCCTAGAAGCTCTACTCTCTGGAGCTGCTCAGCCCCTGGAGCAAGGTCAGGTGTAGCAGGGAAGCAGTGCTGGTTCCTGGGGGGGTCAGAAAGAGCTGTTTCCTGCTTCCCAGCTGCTATTCCTGTCTCCACTGCCAGAACCAATGGGCCAAACACACAGGTGTAAGCCTCTATGGTTTGCATTTGTAGCTGCTGTAGGCGGGGCTTCCCTCTGGCTGGCCTGACGCCAGGGCAGGATTTGCTGGTTTGTGAGTCAGGTGCAGGCTGGCTGGGAGGAAGGCGCAGCAGGCTGTGTATCATGGTGGGGGGCATTGGAGTTGTGTAGCCAGCCAGGGGGATGGAGCGCCTGAAGATCCTGAAAGTTCCCAACCTGCTGGGCAGAGTGTACCCAAACAATTTTGTCTACCTGTCTTTTCTCCTGAGCTGTAAGCTCTGTGCAGTCCTTGCCCCTTTCACAGCCCTCTCACTTTTAGGAAGTCTCTCAGTCTGCCCACCCAGAGCAGCCGGGTATGGATCCCTGTTTTCCACAAGCAGCTGGAATCTCAATCTCTGCAGGTATTCCACTTGTCTTAGCTTTCCAACCCCACTAACCACCAGAGCACCATGCAATGTAGGTTCATGCTCCCAGAGCAGATCTCCAGGGCTAGGTGTTCAGCAGTCCCAGGCCTCCACTCCCTCCCCATCCGTTTCTCTTTCTCCCACTGGTGAGCTGGGGTGGGGGAAGGGCTTGGGTCCCACCAGGTCATGGCTTTGATACGTTACCCTGTTCCATGAGGTCTGTTCTTTTCTCCAGGTGTATGCAGTCTTGTGCAGCCTTCTCTCCTATTGCTCTTTCAGGATTAGTTGTATTAATTTTATTTTCATATTATATGTGGTTTTACCTCTGTCTTACCTCTCATACCGCCATCTTTAATCAATCTGTTTGCTATTCTATCTCCATTATTAATATTGTAATGCAAGGTCCCCATTCAGGCAAGATTAATTCCCTGTTTCCAAAACCTTCTGCTGACATTGCAGTGGATTCATTTGGAAGGCTGTAAAGGCAGGCCCAGGCATTGCTCCCAACACGGGCACATGATAAATAAGATGAGGCCTGAGCCTCCAAGCTTAACAAGGCAGAACAGGAAGTTAGGCTGGACCTGTGATCAGAGAGGTGGTATAGCCCAATAGTTAAAAGCTTAGAGTTTCAACTCAGCTAAATTCAATCCTAGCTCTTTTATAGCCTAGATGCATGACTTTAGGCAATTCATATAACCCCTCAAAGGACTCAGTTTCCTCATCTATAAAACGGAGATAACAAAAGAACCTGATAAGACTGTAAAGCATTTGACACAATGATATGGAAGGCAGTAAGACCTAAAACAAAGTAAAAAAAGAGAGAGAGAGACTATTATTTTCTTCAAATTATCATCATCTCCAGAATCAGCCTTTTATGCTAAGGCAGGAGCAGGAAAAGCCCTGTTCCTCTTTCAACCTACACATGCTATGTAGCCACCACATAGATACCAAAAACATGATGTACGAGGCAAAAAGACAGTACAAAAAGCAGAAGAGAATAGATAATAGAAACAGAATCAGCTCTTGATTAACCTGCCAATGAGGGAGAGGGAAGACTACATTTAAATTGAAGAGAAGAACATCCTCCCCTTTAAAAGAGTATAGATGGAAACATTTTTTCTAATTATAGATAGTAGTTTATCAGACAGAAAATGTGATGTAATTGTTTAAGAGGCAAAAGAGTACTGTCATTAAGAGTATGTCATTAAAACTAGGGAAGGCAGGCTGGATTCAGAATTATACAGGGTAGCAAATGGGAGACAGACCAGAATGAAAAAAATGTACTGGGAATAATTGAGCACAGACAACTGCAGGTTAAAAGGGAGTAGGTAAGATCAACAAAAGGACAGAGATGGATGCATTCATAATAAAGCAAATAGAGTAAAATGCTAAAGGTAGAATTTAGGCAGTAAGTATATTAGTATTTACTGTGAAATTATTTCGACTTTGCTTTATGTTTAAAGTTTTTCATAATAAGCTAGAGGAAAAAAGAAGTAGAAGCATGAACTCAAATTCTGCATCATAGCTATGCTATCTATCCTTTGAGCTCAAACACCAGAGCAAGCTTGGAAAAACCTAATGGTTTTGAAACTCCTGCTCAGCATTGACACTGTCCTGCACCAGATAAGCAGAGCTTGAGTGCTGACCTGGACCACCTCAGCGTAAGTAGATATAGGCAGAGGGCAGAAACCCAGAGGTTCTACCTGAGAAGTACCAACCTCACAGGAATATGACATTATCACCCCTGCTCAGAAAAACTTCAGAAATATAAAGCTCAAGGCCAAGGAATGGGCAGGTGGAGAGTGGGCAAGTGGCACACACTCACTCATGGACTCTGCTGTCGCCATAGAGGTCACTCAGGCCAAAGCTGATATAATGCCAGTGCTCAGGGATGTTGGCAGAAGGGCTCCCCACATTCCTGTACATGCTAACATAGTCCAAAGGGTCTGGGCCGCCCAACCTGCAAAAGAAAAAACACAGAATTGTCAGTGTGAGCCTGAAAGCAGACAGTGTGAAGCTAAAGAGCTGTGCGTGACAAACCTAGAGGCTCCATCCCAGAAGAACCCAGGTGAACTCTCTGGGATAAGATGGGTTGCTGGAGGCTGCCCAGTTCCACAAACACGAGAGGCTTCCTTCTCCTATCCCCAACAGGAAGGACCTCTTTCAGAAATAAAACAGTGTGGGTGGTTGCCCCTTTTGCTACCTCCTGTTTCAAATTACCAATTCCAAATCGAATTGGCAGGGATTATCGCTCTTCCATGGTGCCTGTAAACATGCCAAACTTCAAGGCAAGAGGTGCATCAGCCAATCAATTCGCCTCCATTGAAAGACCATTCTGAGCATCCCCAATGGGCATTGTTCCTGGAAGCAGAGGCTCAGCAATACTTCTGCCTCTTAGACAGCTAATTCCTGAAAGACTATATTGTGCCCTGTGTTAATTACAGTTTGTTCTAAACAAACCCAGTGCCTCCAGACCCCAGCTGGCACTCCACAGACTAAAGCTGGTCTTTTATCATGCAAGTGACAAAGGCCAAATTTAAGCTGCCTCAGCTCTGCACGGAAGTGCAGCAGGAGCCAGGCTGGGCATTGTGAGTGCTTGTATCTGGAAGATGATCCCAGGAGACTCCACCTCAAATGTAGAGTTGGAACTTTAAATGATTTAGGGCCTGTGAGGACCCCACTAAACTTCCCCCATAATTCCAGCAGACAGGCAGTTGAGGAAGAGTGTCAGTCATTATCTCACGCTCAGGATTTAATTCAGTAAGGGTTCCCTTTAGTGAAGTAATTAGCGCTCTTTAAAAAAAAATCCTGCTTTTCTTCAGAATGGGTAGAGAAACTTGGTAGACTTGAGAAACAAACTAAATGGAACCATCAGCGGAAGGAAGTCTGCATTTAGCCCATGAACACTGCATTTGCGCTGCTGCCTCAGACATCTGACTATTCCACAGACTGCAAAAACTTTGCCCCTGGGGCACTGATGGAGCACACTTTGCAACTGAGATTGTATGTTGAAGGAACACTAACAACCAAATAAAAGACAGTTACATGTGATCCCAGCAAGGGTGCCAGCACCATGCAATTTGAACACTATTTAAAACTTGTAGGTCTGGTTTCATCCTCTTTTGCCAAGATATTATTTGCCTTTGTAGAAATCCCTGTTCTCTACTAGGAAATGCTAAGTTATTTATAGAACTTTTAAGATAGTTGCTACAAATAGCTTAGAATCTCAACTGAGTGGATTAGAAAAAGGGACAAATCTCCATCTTTCCTTAACTCTGATTTTACCAAATCATTTTATTAATTCCACAACCAGTTGGATTTAGAAAAGTTTGTCTGGAGAAGGAGGAAAGAAAAGGGGTAGCTATCCCTAAATGACCCCATCATAGATGCAGAACCCCCCAAAAGATGGGAGTGACTACAGGTTCCATAACTGCTCCAGTTTCCTGCTGCAAATGCCCAGTCCTGCCCCTCTTACAGCCTAGGCCCATCCAGTAACAAGTAACAAAACTGCATCCACCACTCGACGCTCCATCTGCCACACCACTGCAGCCCTCTTTCTGGCCAAGTCTCCCAGGAGGTATTACATCAAGGAGAGAGGCTTTTTCAACTTAAAACTCCAACTGTAGGGAAAGAACAAGAGTCTGACAAAATTAACCTCATCCCCAAGCACAATGTTCTGCTCCACTTACTCAGAGACTTGATGGGAAGAAGATGAGTATGTAGAAAATAATCATATTTTGCACTTAAAAGATGTTATCCCAGGGTCCAGAGCATCCCTCAGCTTAATTCCTTGAACACCCAACTTCACGTCACTAGGCAGTTGAGGACTGGAGTGACCCTGAGGCACAGGCGCTGCCTCTCAGCTTCTGCTCCCTGCTCCACTCAAGTCTCAGCTGTCAACCAGAATGTCCCTGCTTACCAGGCCCACTAGCCAAAAAGCTAACCTTCCATCACAAGAAAAGGGATCCCAGGGGCTTTAGGCCAAAGCCAGACCCAGGTAGCCTTGGTCAGTCATCCTGCTATGAGAACTAAAGAAGCCCTGTGGGATCCTAAATGTGAAGGATATTAATGAATTAATTTCAGGATCTTAATTATGCACACTCCTCCAAATCTTAGAACCAGTCACTGAGCTGTTCTCATATTTTTCTGCATGTAGGCAGCATTTCTAATTTCAAAAGGTACTGTATAATCCTCTTTATTTGTCATTACATGTCAGTCTATCTCTGAAGATAAGTCCTGCCTGATTAACAGGCTTGAAGCAGGAAGAAAAAAAAAGTTGCCCAAACCAGTCTTAGTCCTTTGCATGTGCTTCAGTAACTTTTACACACAACTCCATCCTTCACGGCCACTTGGGTGACATAAAATCCGTTACCCAAGTCTATGTGGAGATTTCCCCTAACACTCAAAAGAGGCCTGAACAAACAGCACGGCAGAGCCAGGCCCCCTCTTCTCATAATACAGTCCGTGGAGTTCATCACAATACATATTTAAATATAGAGGTACAATTAGAATGTGTGATTAAGTTATCAAGAGCTGCTTTTCACTCATAAAAGACTCTTCAAAAACTCCTCTTAACCAAAGAACAGTTTGCCTGTTAGAGAGAACTGTACTGCTGGCCACACCTCTTCCTAGCTACCAGACAGAGGCTACCAGACAGAGGCTCCTTGGCTCTCCCTAAGGAGCAGGTGGCTGCTCCCCAGATCCTACATGCTGTCAGCCTCTTCACATCCTCCCATCAACACAGGGAGCTGGTCTCAGCCCTATACAGCTTACCTTTTGCCATCTCCAGAGGAAGAAAGAGGTTGTTGCGTTGAAGTAACCAGTAAAAACATCAACTCTATTCACTACCCGGTTCAGTTCTCATGCTCCATTGGCCACACCCAAGCAGCTGCTTGAACAGTCTTTCAGGACTCAATGAAGGGAATCATCTAATACAGTGCCTGCATGACTGTCTTTCTGGACAACCAATTTATCAGTCAACTTTTAATCCAGAAAGACCACGAAGACAGGTAGTTTCCCAGAGTCCCCATAGCACCTGTTTTGTCCAGAGGCTAAAGGAAGAGACAGACTGCAAACAGGAATGGGAAATCAGAAAAGACCATTCCTACTCCAAGGGCAGCCCATTGGTAAACAGGCCTCATGCTTAACAGAGCTACTTGAGGGTTACTCAGTCTCTCTGAGAAACTGCTGCCTAAATCCTAAAGGTTGTGTGGCCAAGAAGCTTCTAGTAACATCTCACTGCACTTCTTTCCTCATTGCACAAGGACCAAGTCTTCATCATTTACTGTGGTTCACTTCAGTCCAGAGTCAAACCATGCATCTCCCTGACGCTGTTTTAACCAATGTCCTTAAAGCAAAGCAGCCGCACAGAGGAAGCTCTGCAAGGAGAGAGGACTGTGCACAGTAAGCAGAAAGTTTATCAGGAAAAGTTGCTCTGTGAAAACTCCAAACGCAACAGCACTGCACTGATAAACGATCTCTGAGCTCAGGGGGAAGTTACCAACAGGAGACCTCCTCCTCATCCCTTCACAAGCATGACGCTCACAACTTGCTCCCCTCCTAACGACAGGAGAGCCCTGATCCCCAGACCCGCCCCTACCCGTGCCCTCGGAGGTCCTCCAGCCGCGCTCCTCCAGAGTCCTCTCTTATATGCTCCCCAGGCCCCGCCTCGCCTCCCCCGTCCCACTTCAGCCGCCCCCCGCTTGGCTTCCCCTCGCCCACTAATGACCCCCAACAGGAGTCCCCTCCTTCCAGCACGTTTGCGGTTCTCTCTCTCGGCTCGCTCGCCCTTCTGTTCCTACACACACCCCCAATTCATTCTCTTCTCCTAATTCCAGTCAACTCTTCATTCTCCCCTCCCTTGTTAACCCTGCGCTACCCCCCAGGCTCCGTTAACCCCTTTGTCCCCAAGCTCAACTTGAGCCTTAACTACTTCCCTCGCAGCAGGAAGCCCTCCTACCAAGTGCTTTAACCGTTCTCTCCCTCCTCCTCCGCAAATTACTTCGCCTCCGGCGCTTTAACCCTTCCCAGCCCGCCCCTGTCCGTCTCCCCACGGCCCAGGGCATACCAGTACTTGACGATAGCGGTAACCTGGAGCGGATTGGGCTGGTCAGGGTACAGACGGCGGCACTCTCCGTAGATAGCGTGCAGTCCAGGGGGGAAGAGCGAAGCGAAGGCCGGGGGGGCAGTAGGGCCAGGGGCTGGGGGCGCGGCAGGGCCGGGGGCGCCGCTAGGCCGCAGCTCCGCCATCCGGGCGCGTAGGAACCCGCGAGGGTGGACGAGAGGGAGAGCACTGACGCGCCAGCGGGCGTACTCCGAGGGTGCGACTCCCTGAGGCAATGGGGGCTGCAGCGAGGTCTGGGCTCCGCGCCTGCGCGCGTCGTATCGTCGGCCCCGGCCGTACCCACCGCAGAGACTGCCAGAGGGTGCCTCGGGGGCCGCGGGGCGCTCAAGGGGGCGGGGCGCCGGCGCGCCCTATGCTGGCATCCATTGGCCAGTATAGGTGCCCGTCACAGGTGGGGAAGGCGTGACTTATTATAGGTTCCGCCTCCTTCTGCCGGGGTTGGGGAGTCCAAAGGCTCTTGGCCTCCCCCTAGTGTTAGGAGGAACCCAGGTCTAAATACAGATGTTGAGGCATCCGGAGGTGCTAGGGTCCCACAAAGACACTGGGAAATACGCCAACAAAGGACTTGTCACTGTTCTGTTTGACACGCTGCTAAGGATTTAAACACAAATATGACAATGGACTGATTCATTCGTCTGAGTAGCATTAGTTATAGATTTTTAAATCTGAATGTTTCCCAGCGTCTTTGAATGTCCATTGACCATATTGACTAACACTAACACCGCCAAATTCAGGAGTTATATGTTGAAATAACTATTTCGAAGTTCTGTCAGAAAGTAAAAGAGTTAGGTAAACTATGATCTGTTTAAAAGACTTGATAATTGGTTAATAAATGCTTTTAGTAAGGATGACAATCTTTGTTCTGTTTCAAGCAGGTGTATGCAGGTTGCCTTGAAGAACAACAATATTATCTGCTATGGGCCTGCCCTTCCGCATTGCCTTTCACTTTCGGTACCTGGGAGAATTTTTAAATTCCTAAGACATCAGGTTGGGAATTGTTTTCCTGTTTACAATAACTTTTCATTCAGTAATGTCTTCCACTGAATGATCTTGAAGAAATTCCAAGAGAAAGAGACAGGAATGAGTCCTGACTACCGGTGCTATTGACTAAAGGGTCCCTGCAACCAAATGGGTAGAGGAAATAATCTACAGAAAAATGCTCTAAACTTATTGTCACTGTGTCAAAGCAGTGCACAATCTCTCTTCACCTTTTCTCACTCATCAAAGTCAATTCTAACTCCCTGTGAAAAGAGATACTAGAGCAGTTTCTGAAGTTAGTACACAAACGATGTTTTAATGACCAAATGATTACCTGTACCAGTAATTCCAAATTCCAGTCCTCGGACCAATGCTAGCCTGTTGGAATGTTTACACCTAGCCAGGAAACAATGCGAAAAGCAACAAAAATGTACTCGTTTTTTCCCTTCTTTTGTTCGGAGATTATGTTCTTCCCCGTGCATGTGTGTGGTTGTTTTAAATTTTCCTTTGTTAGAGTGTGATGGTTAATGTTTGACGGACCCAAATAAAAACATTACAAACCTTATATTGTCCAGGGGAAGGGATGGGGAATGGCAGAGCTTATCTGTAAAAATCCAAGCATCCATGAATTACTGACTAATCCAAACCAAACTACAGACAAGCGTTCATGCATACTTACTTCAGCATGCACTGCGAATCCCTTCAAAGGGACTGCAGAGCCACTGACGAGATACAACCATCAGTCTGCGTCCCCCTTTTATTTATCTATGAAACTACAAAGCCCAGGGCACTGTGCATTCAAAACGCAGCGCCGAGTCTTTTAAACTAGAGGGCGCTCCCGACTTCCCAGCGTTTTAACACCGGTGCAAGGCATGCTGGGGGTTGTAGTTCTTCGGAAGGGAACTAGGGCCGCTCCCTTGGCCGCCCAGTACAGGTGGCCAGACTGCGCATGCGTGTCAGTAGCGTTAGCAGCACACCCGGCTGGCAGTTCCTTCCTCGGAAGGAGAGAATCCTCTGCCATGGAGTCCTACGATGTGATCGCCAATCAGCCTGTTGTGATCGACAATGTGAGTTGCGTGTTTTCTATCTCTAAAGGGGTTTATGCTCTTCTTCCCGAAGGGATTGTTTCCCCGGTTTCGAGCTGGGCGCCCGGCTCTTTGTCACTGGCTCGGCCTATCAGGCGGGTTCAGCTGCCGCCGCCTCCGTCCTCCCTCTACCCGTAGTCCGCAGGCAAGGCGGCCGGCTAACAACCAGGGAATGGAGAACTTTGGGGTGGATAAAGTGAAAGGCTGTAGTCCAAGCCGGGTCCTTGTCTGGAGAGGCCTTAACCGCTCCTTGACGCCCCGTGCCCGCCCCTCCCCAGTTTCCGATAATCCTATTGGCTGTTCCAGCTGTCCGTTTTGACCGGCTACCCCCGCCTCTGGGCTTTGCCGGATGAGGGCAGACCTCTGCAGTGATTGGCTCGCGCTCCTGTCGTTCTTCCAGTTCGCCATAGTGTTTCCCCTTTATAAGGGGCGGGTTGGTACTCAAGGGCTGTAGGGATTGGCTTCGCCAATTCCCGGTGGTGGGACCTGAAGGGCTGGGGCCTGCTGGCTGGTGGAAAGGGTTAAGTTTCCTTCGGTCCAGAGCCGGCCGGCGGCTTGGTTATGTATGTATCTGGGTGGAGCCGGAGATCCTGGTGCCAGAAATGGCCGAATTTCAGTCATTTCTGCGATTACAATTTAGAGTCTTAATAAAGGTCGAGAAGAAAGGAGAGTGACCAGGCGAGCAGGGAGCTATCGTTCTCGTTGGAACGCCTAGCTTTTAACATACTAGCCGGGAGCTCTAATGCTTACGGAGGTTTCAAGTTGGATTAATTCGAGTTGTAGCCTTACAAAAACTGAGCAGTTAAGGCAAGAAATTTGACCCTCGTTTTACAAATGAGAAAACTGAAGCACCAAGAGAAAAACTGAGCTCAAGGTCGCACAGTAGAGGTGACCTAAATCCTGTGCTTTATCTGTTATTTCTCTTGTCTAGTACCCCACGCAAATGCATCAGTGATGATCAATGGAAATAATCTAAATACTCCTATTTTGTAGGAGAGGGACAATTGTAAAACAACTCCATTTCTCTCTTTCGCTCAAAGATTGGTACCTCCGAGATTGGTTGATAACTTTTATGTCTCTAATAGGTCACTCCATTGAGGCAAATTGCCAGTTCTCTCTGTCCTAAACTGACTGCCAGATTCATTCTGTTGATCAGCTTGGACCTTAGGCAGGTTTCAAGGTCCTTTGATTCTCATCATCTAATTTAAGCATCTCTGGTAGGTGGATATGAATTTCTATCCCCAGTTTATGCAGGAAAGTGAGGCTTGGAGATGTTAAACAGCTATTCAAACCACCTGGCATATGAGTTGAGGTGCCAAGACTCAAACTGAGATCGGATTCCCAGTTACTCACTTTTTCCAAGAAAAGGTACTTTTTTGTTGTTAGCCTTACTTCTCTCAAAAGGTGCGACTTCTGCCTTAAAAACCATGAGGTTGTGCTCAGTGAGACACCTCATTTTTTTTGGCCTCCGTCACTATTCTAGTAAATCCTAGATTCTATAAATCCAGGAAAAAGTTGATATTCCTTCATTTTTCATTACTCCTCCCTTCCCCACCTCTCTCCACACACACACTGCCTGGGGCCTGACACCACTATGTGCTCAATAAGTGTTTTTTCATTGGATTGATTCAGTGGGTGGATGAATGACTAATTAATCACAGTAACAAAAGTGTCCCTAAAGAAATGATAGGGACCTCTAGTTACTTACTTCAGAGAACGACTCCTTGTCTTGATGTTGATTTTCAGAGATCAGTGTTTCTATCGTCAGTTTGTGTTTCATTTGCCTTTTTCTTAGTTTCAAAAAGAAAAAAAAATTGAAATTAGCAATTTCCTGTTTTCATCAGCAATGCAAAAGGCGCAGTCTGTCCATCCCACCAGATTCTTTCCTTCTTGAATTGTTGGGCAGGAGTTCCATCTCCAGCCATTTTCTTTAATGTCACTTTAAAATGCTTTTTGGTTTCTCCTTTCTCTTTCTTGGTAGTGTATTTGAAATGCATCAAAGCAGTGTGCATTTTCAGTTTTCAGATTTAAAGAACTGACTTGTTTTTCTGTGGGAAAACATTTCCCTTATTATGTCAATAATTCTGCCAAAACATGAAGTAGGAGAAACTTAAGTGATATTTCCATTAGGTCTTACTGAGTATCTGCCATTTATTTAGATTTGGGGGCCTCTAGTAGTTCTTGCTGTTCGACATTTAGAAAATTTTGTTTTGTTTCAAAATGAAAGATGGACAGGAAAAATCATTTGAAAGATTTGAGCCAACTTTGTATCATAAGAACTATGTGTGCCCAGCTGATTTAACAGCTCCATAGTTTAACATATTGCTACAATTTTATTTCTGGGCTAAGGAGAATGTAATTAAAAGAGAACAAGAAACCAGGAAAAGAAGGAAGAACCGAATTATCTGTTCTCAGCCTTTCCCAGTCTTAAGACAATTGTTGACCATTCCTTTCATCCTATTATGGCACCAAACCAATTCCTCAGAATTTAATGAGAAAAATGTGGGCTTCGGGAAGACACATGTGCCCACAGGTATTTTTAAAAAGTAAAATATAAGTCATTCTTCCCAAGGGCATATTAGAGATAGTAATACTAGAGGAAGGCAGTTCCTGGGCCACATTTTGCAGACTATAATACTTTGATTTGAATGTAATGTTATTCTGAAGCTCAAATATTTGCTGAGATCTAAAGGTTAAATGCTGTTCTTACATCTAAAAAAGATGAATCTTCTGGTCATTCTTAAAAACTGTCTTTGTGCTTATGTGGGCCTAAATGCAAGAACAGTTTCAGATTGTTATAAGTTCATCGGTAAGCTAAGTTTCACTGTTTGGGAGGAATGTTATGCTACTTCAGCCCTCCTTTTAAAAAATGAGATACCTTAAACATACAGAAAAGTTCAGAGAAGTATATTATAAGCACTCCTATAGTCTACCACCCCAATTTAATAAATGATGACATTTTCCGTATTTGCTTCAGATTTTTTGTAAGGAAATAAAGCATTACAAATAAAGGATAGCTTTAAAGGAATTGGGAAGGTCCAGTGAGCATGCCTGACCCAAGGGCCAACTGCTGCTCATTTCCAGCCAGTTGTTCCCGTGCAGAAATGCAGGCCTAATGTTACCATATCTTCTGATCTTCAAGAAAAATCAGAAATACTTAATTTCATATTCCGTCTCCAATTTTTAACTTTGAAATTAATGTAAAAGTAGTTTGTGGTCTATAGAGGTAGAAAGTAGATTAGTGGTAGCCTAGGGCTGGGCACAGTGGGTGGGATGAAGAGCGACTGCTAATGTGTACAGAGTTTCTGGGATGATGAAAAAGTAAAATTAGATTGTGGTGATAATTGTACAACTCTGCAAAGACACTAAGAACCATTGAGTTATACACCTTAAATGGGTAAATTATATGACATGTGAATTTTATCTCAATAAAGTTAACTTTTTTAAAAGGTATTTTGTGGAATAAACAAAATACATCTTTGGGCCAAAATGGGCTGCCAGTGTTCTAGAATCTGAGGCTTCACTTCACAGCATCCTTTTCCCACTTGTAAAAGGGGAAACAAATAGCCTCCTTCCTTACATGTCAAGAATAATTGGGAGTGCTTAGGATAAAGCCACAAGGCAGGTACTAGGTACCAGGAAGAGCTTTGCTGAGGGATTTGCTATTTGTTTGCATCAGAAGAAGACGGTCAGTGGTGGCTGGCTTCAGACTTGAGTCCTCAAAAGTCAAATATTTAATGAGGCTACTATTTCAAGAAGCCTGTGCAAGGCATTTGTTTACTTGGCTTTACCAAAGTGAGTAACAAAGAGAGTGGCAGCTCACTTGCAGGTACACAGTCCCTAGTTACAAATATTATTTTAAGTAATTGATACAACCCTTTCATGCTAACCCTGGTAGCATGCATAGTATGCTCTCATGGTATGGCTTGAGCAGAACAGAGGCAGCTCAGCCACCTCCCCCATCCCTACCCATTCTTCACCAACTTGCTGGCCTGGAAGGCCAACTTATGGGGCTGCAGGAACAAGCTGGGTCCAGTTCCACGTTGTGCCTCATTCCCAACACTGCCTTCCCCTTTCCTGCACCACCTCTGCCTGGGGCTTCTGGCATTCCAGCTGCTCATTCAGGTTCCACACTTGAGGCTTCATCTGCCAGTCATTAGCTAGCATCTGTTTGAGTATCCTGCAGATGCCAGGTGTGGCAGATACATAAAGTCTCTGACCTTGTGGAACTTGGGCTGAAAATGTGTGTGGTGCCCAAGCAGCTGAAGAGTGTGTGCCCACAGTGTGGGCTGCAGTGAACAGCTGCCACAATGGCAAACACTGGGCTTGCTTTCTTGCTTTCTGAACAAGGTGAGCTTCCAGTCATAGCTCTGCCAGTCTTGAGTGAAGAGCCAAGCAAAGATGGAAAAGAGCTACACTAATGTTAGAGTACAAATCAGACGCATGCAAACTGGAAAAAGGAGAGCACTGGAAGGCCTCCATGAGGAGTGCAAGCTGTCTGTTTAATATAACATAGCACCAAAACTTACTAAAGGCACGTCCCCTGCCTTTGTGCTACCAGTGCTACAAAATGGAACCATAAATTCAAATAGAAAACAGAAGGAAATGCATGCTACCAGGGTACAGGTAATGGTGATTTTGTGAGAGAGAGAAGGATAATTAATTCTAACGGGGGGTATTTTTCAGGGGGAAGGCAATGAAACTTGAACTAAGCCTGTTATACTCTTGCTGCGAAAGACAGGAAAAAATGAACCTAACATCTTAATATGCCTTGTTAGACTCTAGTCCTTTTGCTAGTAAACTCAAAATCAAATATCCAAGAAAGTCATCTCTTAAAAATATCCAGAATCTGAAGTATAGGTCTCAACATCTTTTTTTGTTTTCAACCTCTGCCAGGAGATCCAATTAGTCTGTTGGCATCACCACACCCAGATGAAAGCAGTGAGCAATTATCGGAAGCTGCACAGACAGGTTCCCAGGGTTCTGTTTCACAGTGCTGTTCTCACCATCCATGCCACTGTCCCAGAACCCATGGCTTTGCAGTGGGATAGTTCTCTCTCCTTCCCAGTCTTTCGGATCAGTTTACAGCTGCACCTTTTCCAGGCTCCTTGCTCTTCTGCCCAGGACAATGAATTTGCACATTGTCTCCTGTTTCCTCTCATTTTCTGTTGGCAGGGGTGGAGAACTGGCTTGACCTGCTCTCCCTCCATACTGCTTTCCCTGTCCTTCAACCACTTCTTAGTTCCTCCCTCTCTTGCCAGGGTCAGGCACCAGGATGGCCTGTCTTACCCCTCCTCCTCCTATAGAAAAGCAGGAGTAAAAGGCAGCCGGGGCTGTTGCTGGGAAGACTGGCGCAAAGATAACCTTAGCTATTAAGCATCTCCTGATGTGTTTATTGCTTGCTTTCTGGTTCTGGAAATATCACACTGTGCCCCAGGAGAAGTGGTCAACAGGCAGCAGGAAAAAGCCTGCCCCAATTGCACATGCAGCCGCAAACCACGGTAGGGTAGAAGGGTAAGGGTATCGTGTGCTGGTAGAAGAGTTACAAGGCATATCTGCAAGCAGTATGAGCCTCGTTATCTGTCCTGCTCGGAGTTGGTGTCTGTGTCTAATGGCAGTGTCTGCTTTGGTTGGGCCCTGGGTGGTACCAGAGATGCTGCTGGGAGGCGTCAGCTTCTCTTCTGGGCAACCACCCAACATACCAAGGATCAGAGCAACAGGACTGTAATGTCGGGTCTCTTCTCTTCCCTTCTCAGACAGGGCTCTTCAGGTTTCTCTGCTCTTTATCATCAGGAGACCAATGAGTTAAACAAAGCCTAGTCAAAAAAAACAAAAACACCACCACAGCTGTACAAAGCACACCGTCTACATCTGCAGGGAGGACCAGACAACAGTGTTCTGTGGAGTCAGCTTCAAGCCGACAGTGCTCATGCTGGTGTCTGTCACAGAGGCCTGGAGGGCAGGGAGAGTTTAGGCCTGAGCAGGGAAAATAGGTTAAAAGCATCCCTGGTGGTTTAACAGGAAGAATCATGCTCTTCCCACCTTGGTTATGTTCTGAATTTGGCTGCTTTGGTACTTCTAGGTATTTTCTTCTCGTCTCCTCAGGTTTTCTTTTTCTTTTCTTTATTAATACTATTTTTAATTCCAAAAGTAAAACATGTTAAATGTAGAAAAGCCAAAAATGCAGAATAAAAAACACTTTGAGGGTACAGTGAAAGTCCTCACCATCCCCAGTTCCATTTCCCTCAGGTTAGCACACATTCCCTATACAAAATGGTCATGTTATAGGCAAATATGAGATCCTTCTGTTTCTTTTAACTTTTTTTAAATTAAAGTATCATTGATATACAATCTTATGAAGGTTTCACATGAGCAACATTGTGGTTACCACGTTTATGCATATTATCAAGTCCCCCCCCCACCATCACATTGCAGTGTGCCAGGCGGATGTGACTGGGGGAAATAGGACTGGGGATGGTGAGGACTTTCACTGTCCATCAGCGTAGTAAGATGCTATAGAGTCGCTTCTTGTCCTCTCTGCACTGTACTGCCTTCCCTGCGGGCCACCTACATCATGTGTGTTAATCATAATGCCCTTTAATCCCCTTCGCCCTCCCTCCCCAACCCCAGTCTCTTCTTGGAGTCTCTGAGTCTGCTGCTTTGTTCCTTCAGTTTTGCTTTGTTGTTATACTCCACAAGTGAATGAAATCATTTGGTACTTTTCTTTCTCCGCCTGGCTTATTTCACTGAGCGTAATACCTTCTAGCTCCATCCATGTTGTTGCAAATGGTAGAATTTGTTTTCTTCTTATGGCTGAATAATATTCCATTGTGTATATGTACCACATCTTCTTTATCCATTCATCTACTGATGGGCACTTAGGTTGCTTCCATCTTGGCTATTGTACACAGTGCTGCAATAAACATAGGGATGCATATGCCTTTTTGAATCTGGTATCTTGTTTTCTTTGGGTAAATTCCTAGGAGTGGAATTCCTGGGTCAAATGGTATTTCTATTAGTTTTTTGAGGAACCTCCATATTGCTTTCCACAGTGGTTGAACTAATTTATATTCCCACCAACAGTATAGGACTGTTCCCCTTTCTCTGCATCCTCACCAGCATTTGTTGTGCCTTGTCTCCTGGATGTTGGCCATCCTTACTAGTGTGAGGTGATATCTGATTGTGGTTTTAATTTGTATTTACCTGATAATTAGCGATGTGGAGCATTTTTTCATGTGCCTGTTGACCATCTGAATTTCTTCTTTGGAGAATTGTCTGTTCAGATCCTCTGCCCATTTTTTATCCCTCTTTCTTTTTAAAAGTAAAGATGGAACCATATACATATTGTATGATATATTTCGCCTCTTGTTTTTGTGATACTTCTGACTTCTCTTTTTCTCTCCTATCTCCTCAGGGATCCGGTGTGATTAAAGCTGGTTTTGCTGGTGATCAGATCCCCAAATACTGCTTTCCAAACTAGTAAGTCATTCTGTAGCTTAGTCAGAAGCTTAGGAGGCTTGTCAGCTTTGTTATGGTGTCAGCCCTCCAGCTTTTATGGAAAAGAGGTCTCTCATTCAGGTCAGCCTTGGTACTCAAAACTACAAGCAAGGGAAAGGAGCTGGCTTTTGGAGTAAGCAAATGAAACAATTGTCTACATGGTTAAATTTGAGAGGCATAGGCAAGAGGCCTCATCTTCAAATCTGATCTTACCTGATGCCAAAAATGTTATCATTGGTTGCTCACTGCTTTGGATGACTGCCTCTTCATGGAGTCCTCTTTTTAAAATGATCCCATCACCCAGGATATGGTTTAACATCAAACATAACTACTATCTTCATGAGAATGAGTTTCTAAGTGCTTTCCTCCTAAGGCAGGGACTGTAGGCAGGACAAAGGCCTGGGTACCCTGGGAAGGGGCTCAAAGGGATAGAAAAAGGAAGAACGCTGTGTTACAACAATAGCATCACATGTCTACTTGGTAGAAATCCAGGGCAGGGGGCTAAGGAGACTAAAATTTTTTGCTAACCATTCATTTAAAAATTCTTGTTCCTTTGCCTCTTTTGGTCTGCATGTACACTGAAGAAAGAGAAGAACTAGGGTACTGAAACCTGTAAAATTAGTTTTAATTCTTATAAGTATAATAAAAATAGAAATACAAAGAATTTAAAATAATACATGTTCATTGTAGAGATTGTGAGATGCAGAGAAGTAGGAAGAAGTAAAAATCGAAATCAATTGTAACCTCCCTTATCAAAGATAATCACAGTAGAATTGAGTGTATTTCTTCGTGTCTAAGTATGTGCATTTATATGGCCTTCCTGCATTCTGTCGTGTGTTCTGTAAAGCAGAGAAAAGTGATGGTCCTCTCTCTTTTGTAGTGTGGGCAGACCCAAGCACGTTCGTGTCATGGCAGGAGCCCTAGAAGGTGACATCTTCATTGGCCCCAAAGCTGAGGTAATTCCCAGCCCTACTGAAGGCCTCAGTCCAGCAGAGGACCTTCATTATGCCCCATACAGGCAGTGTCCTGGCAATGGGACATATGCATGAGTAAAAGGAGCAGTTTACTCTTAAAATGTCCCCTTTGATTCTCCCATCCTAAGCCTAGTTGGTTTATTTGTCCCAGGAGCATCCTCTGGTTTTGAAGAGGAAATATCTGAACCCCTTTGAAAAACAGAGAACAGTCTAGAAAACAGGGCTTTTGTCTTCTGTGTTCTGTCACTGCCTTGCCAATAATCAAATAGACTGCCTTGGTTATTTTTTTGGCAAACGAGATTCAGGGGGAGGTCCTGGCTGGGGTACCCTGGGGGTGAGTTAATTAGCACAGTTTGGCAAAGCCCTCAGGCAGCTTCTAGAAACAGAACAACAGAATCATTATTGCCTTCTTGGCTGTAAGTGCTGAGGCCCAAAGGTGGAAGCCAGGCGATGGTGTACTGGGACCAAGCAGTGAGGAGGGTGCCTCCTATCACTTGCCCTAGGGGCACCCAAGGGCCATGAAAATGCAGAAGCCCTCTGCTTTGCCAGTAGATTGGGCAACAGGAATAGTTTGCAGCTTATAGTTTAGAGACTTGGAGAATGGGTACCCACTCTTAGCACTACAGGGTTGGAACTCCCAGTCCTGGAAAGGAACGGTCACTGGGCAGCCCAGCTGAGAGCCTGGCCGCTGCTGTAAGTCCCACTGTCTATCCCCAGGAACACCGAGGGCTGCTCTCCATCCGTTACCCCATGGAGCACGGCATCGTTAAAGACTGGAATGACATGGAGCGCATTTGGCAATACGTCTATTCAAAGGACCAGCTGCAGACTTTCTCAGAGGAGGTAAGAGTCCTGTGTGCTGGGCAGAAGCCCTAGCCAGGGATGAGGAGGATGACAGTGTGTTTATCAAAGAGCATCAAGAATGAGTTCTCCTGTGGGCCAGGCACCAGGCCATGTGCTATTCAGGCATGTTCATGTGTAATCCTCACTCCATTCCCGTGAGACATAGGTAGTACTATCTCCATTTTACAAACAAGGAAGTAGGAGTTGGGAGAAGGCAAATAGTGTTTCCAGGATTCACCCAGTGAGTAAAGCGGCAGAACTGGGATTCAAACTCACATCTTTCAGACTTCAGAGCCTGTAACTTCTGAGGAAGTAACTCTCAACTCAGAAACACAAAAGAAGGTGCATCCTAGGCCTATTAGGCCTATTTTGTAGGATATTTTCCATATTTAAAAGTACATTCTATATTACAATCTAATTTTCTATTTCAAAAAAGATGTTTATTATTTTTATCATAATCCCAAATTTAGAGTTTAGCAAAATCTCCTGACATTTGGAGATATACAGTAGACATAGGACTCTTGGAGGATGAGAGGAGGGATGGAGGAGTGAAGGCAAGAACAGAACAAGACTTTAAAGGGGAAATGAATTTGGAAAGCTGAGAAACGAACTTGGGCAGGGGTAGGTGATAGGCCCAGCTTGCTTTTTTGAAGGAGGCTGACAAAGGTCCCCTGGGCTCTCTAACCAGCCAGGCAGGGGCAGAAGTCCTAATGCAGGGTGGAAATCTGGCCTCACCTTATTGCTGCCTGGGCATCTTCCACCAGCATCCTGTGCTCCTGACAGAGGCACCTTTAAACCCGCGGAAAAACCGGGAACGAGCTGCTGAGGTATTCTTCGAGACCTTCAATGTGCCAGCCCTTTTCATCTCCATGCAAGCTGTGCTCAGCCTGTGAGTAGCAGCCTGGCTGGCTAGCCTGGCCCCCCAGGTTGGGGAAACAGTCCTTTGGCCTCTCCTCTGGACTTGAGGGTGCTCAAGTCCAGAGCAACTTGAGCACCCTCTACGAGGGAAGGTTTAAGATGGCAGCACAAGGAGTATTGAGGTGACTCTTAGCTGGCTCCTAGTCTCAGTGGGTTTGGTGCCCAAGGCTGTCTGCTCCACCTGTGGGGAAGGCCACATGCTGCTGCAGCTCTTCCTGAAGGCCCCCGTAATGTGTTCAGATAATTAATCAGTGCCTACCTATGCCAGGTGCTATGCGAGGCTGGGGATAGGGACGTGATGAAAACACCACCATGGTCCCTGTTCTCACACCCCTGCATTCCTGTCATGTTCCCAGCCTGACACCAGGGTAGGTCTACTGCTGAGACTGGACACTGGTTATTTGCAGGTGGGATACATTTGACCCCATTAAAAAATTGTGAGCCAGCATTTAAAAATTGTTAGATTTCCTAGCAAAACTCAAATTTGTCTTCTCTAAAAAAATGGGGCCATCTGGTAATACCGGGCCTGCACTGTGGGTTTTTTCCCCCTCATATCACAGAACTGTATGTATGTCTGTACCCTTGTCTCTACCAAATGAGGAAACTAAGGACAGACATAGAGGGCCATGGAGGAAAAAGCTAGTTTTTTGTGGAAGTGAAAATAATTCTTATCTTTGTTTGCCTAGCCTTTGTAGGTATCTTTTGAGTTTTTCCTCTTGTTCAGAGTTAAAAACTGCCCCTGAGGCTGGGTCCCTGAAGCAGATGAAGGCCAGGCCATCACCTGAGATTGGAGGGTCTGCTTTTCTGGGAGCAGGGAAGGAACTAGAGAGGCTCAGCCTCTTTCATTCAGGTATTTCAGGCTTGCTTCGATGCTCATATAGTACTCAGTCCAGTCTAAGGCTCTGGAGAAGTACAGGCCCCAGCTTTAGTTTAGCAGACATTGAACTCTAAAAAGAAGTTTCTTCCCAGAGTGAGGAGGCAGGGGTTAGTGATGCTTCACCTGCTTTGCTTCAGTTATGCCACAGGCAGGACCACAGGTGTAGTGCTGGATTCTGGGGATGGCGTCACCCATGCTGTGCCCATTTATGAGGGCTTTGCCATGCCGCACTCAATCATGCGCATCGACATTGCTGGCCGAGACGTCTCTCGCTTCCTTCGCCTCTACCTGCGTAAGGAGGGCTACGATTTCCACTCATCCTCCGAATTTGAAATTGTCAAGGCCATAAAAGAAGTGAGTGCTGCCTCATGGGCCCAGGGATGGGCTGGGAATGGGAAGCAAGCAGCCAGGACCTCCGTGCCCTGGAGTGAAGAAAGGCAGCGCTCTTGTCATGGGAGGTCTCAGGTCAGGCTCTGTTCTCCCCAGCCAGACCTCCCTGCCGCTGTGCGGTCTTCAGCTGGGCCTCACACTGACAGATTCACCTTCCCAAGGTGCTGCCATCTTGTGGGGGAAAGAGGGCCATTCTATCTCTTAAGCGGGGTGACAAGTAGACTGGTGTTCATTGGTTTTCATACCTTATGTACAAATTACATTTGTCCTTTTAGTCCTTAAAGACATCAGAATACATTTTTCTTTTAAGTAAACTGAATCCTCCTGCTACCTGTAGCTCTAAAGAAGCCTCTGGGGTGGGTAGGTGGGACCCAGAACCATATGTGTTGTAAGAGGAGAAAGAAGCCTGAGCCTGGACTAAAATTAAGTTGTCTCAGAACCAGATCCAGAGAGCCAAGTTTCCATGCTTACCCACCATGAAGGTGGAGATTTCATGTTCTAAATGTCACCTGGTGAAGGCCAACAGAGGCCTCCCTGCTTCAGCTCCAGAACAGGCACTCTTCTGACCTGTAGGGCAATCACTGCAGTGGGTAGATTTCTGCAGGAACACATCACTCCCCTGGGACTTTGACCAGGCGAGTGCCACATTTCCTGCCTGCCTGACTTGTGCTTGGTTCTGCAGAGAGCCTGCTACCTATCCATAAACCCCCAGAAGGATGAGACACTAGAGACGGAGAAGGCGCAGTACTACCTGCCTGATGGCAGCACCATTGAGGTAGGCAGCTGGACCTCTCCTCTCAGGACCCCAACAGCTGCGCCTACATAGAACTAACTCCTGGGGAGACACTGGGGTCAGATGTAGCAATCCTTTTACACCCCCTGCCTGAAGCAGGGCTCTTGAGCATCTCTGTCTCCTGCAAAGTGAGGCAGTGCCAGAGACTTTGCTTCTCCCATGTGGGGGAGAGGAGGCACCAGAGGCATTTTCCTAGGTCAGGATGGGATTAAGAAGCAGGATGGTTAGTGCTGTCCTTGACCACTTGGGCACAGTATAGTACTGCCTCTCCCTGGACCTCCATTAATAGAAAGAAATTTCTGTGAATGAATCCATGTATTAATGCCAAAGGTCTCTTGGCTAGAAAATGCCAGAACTAGGATTAAACATAGGAGCTTCCTCTCTCTTCTCTCCCATGGGCCCTATTCGTTCCTTAAGCCTGGCCTTCACAGCCACCTGGTTACTAAGAGGGGGAGACAGGTCTCTTCTATTGCCATTCCCAAAGGGATCTCAGCCCGTCCCATCCTCTGAAGCTTGCCCTCTACCCTGCAGATTGGGCCTTCCCGATTCCGGGCACCTGAGTTGCTGTTCAGGCCAGACCTGATCGGTGAGGAGAGTGAGGGCATCCACGAGGTGCTGGTGTTTGCCATTCAGAAGTCTGACATGGACCTGCGGCGCACGCTTTTCTCTAACATTGTCCTCTCAGGAGGCTCCACCCTTTTCAAAGGTTGGTCTTTGCTGTCGGGTCCTTCTCGAGGAAGTTTCCAGATCTTTCTGGGCCCAGACACCAAGAGAATTGATGATACTTTCCTTTCTTGCCCATTCAGGTTTTGGTGACAGACTACTGGGTGAAGTGAAGAAACTGGCTCCAAAAGATGTGAAGATCCGGGTAGGAGCAGCATGGTCGTGGCTGGGCTGGGTGGAAATGGGCCTCCTGCATCTCCACCCAAGCTTTTCGGGAGACAAGGCTACTTAGACACCACCAGATGGCTCCTGGCCTCCACACTGACTCAGAGGTCAGCCAGAAGGGAGGATCCATTCTCACTTTCCCTCTTCACTAAAGGGGGGAAGTTCTAATACCCAGATGTGGTGAGGTGCTAGGCTCAGGGCCCCACGTGTTGTCTTCGAGGAAAACTGCAAAACTTTAAAAGAACTGAATCTTGCTCCCAGATAGCCCCAACTTCCCTGAGAGCTATAGGTACTTAGGGCCTCTGGAAACCTGCTTCTCCAGATGAATGAATGTCAGGCTGGCTACAATACCTGCCAGAGAGACCACAGGATCCCACAGGGACATAACTTAAAGCCTGTCATGTGAAGTGCATCTGCTGCCTTGGGTGGTGAGAATTGGCTATAAACACAAGCATTGGATGGGAGAGGGAAGATGGAAGTCTCAAAGTCGTCTTTCTACCCCCTGTTGCAGATATCTGCACCTCAGGAGAGACTGTATTCCACATGGATTGGGTGAGTAGCTCTTCTGGGGGGTAAGAGCAGAACAGGAAGTAACGGCATTGATTACCCTCACCACCCCATCCCTTTAAAGCAAAGCCTGATCTGGTTTGGCCCCCTGGGGGACTGGCTGGCTCCACGAATACCCACTCATGTCTCTCAGTGTTCCTTTGGATTCTCTCCACTCCAGAGGCTCTATCCTCGCCTCCCTGGACACCTTTAAGAAGATGTGGGTCTCCAAGAAGGAATACGAGGAAGATGGTGCCCGATCCATCCACAGGAAAACCTTCTAATGTTGGGACATCATATTTACCTCTCTCTGAAGTTAACTCCACTTTAAAACTCGCTTTCTTAAGTCGGAGTGTTTGCGAGGAACTGCCTGTGTGTGCGAGTGTGTGTGTGGGGACGAGTGTGTGCGCATATGCGAGTGCCGTGTGACCCAGGGATCCCAGGCCCCAGAAAGGACGATGAACTGCCCACGATGGCGAAGGCCTGAGGCCTGGGGTTGACCACTAACTGGCCCAAGGAAAAGTGCTGGCAGAGAGCCCCACTCCTTCCTCATCTGGGCCTTTGTCTGGCCATGTGGGACTATGTTTACTACCATAGGGAGACAGAGAGGGAGGTAAACCCAAGCCCCAAGAGACCTTGTTGCTGCCCGTCCTAGCTGGGCTACCCCCACCCCAGCCCTTGGGTGCCCTGTGACCCAAGGCAGCCTCTGCTTCCCTTGCTCATCCTGCTCTGGATGCCTCTGGATCATGGATGGAGGACTGCGGATGGGGTAGAGTTCTGTCTGATTTTGTTGCAGTTTAGGTTTGGGAGGCTAGAAAAGTACTCTAGGAGCTGTTGCTGAAAGTCTGGGGTCAGGAGAGGGCAGGATGCCTTCAGCTGCACCTGGGGGCCAGCACCACACTGGGCATTGGAGGAGGGCAGTAGTGCCACTTCCAAGTGGTGGCAGAGTTAATGTTCCATCCCTACCTCCATTCCAGAGGGTCTTGGGAGAGTTTAAGGAGCCGTTTGGCTCCAGGCCCTATTACTTGCTTTTCATCCATCCTTGGGCAATGCCATCTTCAAACAGTTTTATTTATTGAAGTGTTTATTCAGTATGGGGACTTGGAAAGGAGTTCACCGTCTCCTGCCCACCAGTCACCTCGTTCACACTAATGTTTACAGCACCTAAGCTTAGCGTAGTATCCAGGGCCCTGCCACTCCCTGCTGTGAACTGGCCATATCCATAGGCCTCAGGACCATTTGCGATCAGAGGTTATTTACAAAGTCACTCCCACCGGCCCCTTTCTTTCTCCCTCTTCTACTTGCTCACTGCTCTGGAATCAACAGGCTGGTTGCTGGTTGTATTTTCTGAAACAGGAGATAGACTCACTCTTTTGCAGAGATCCCTAGCAAAGAAAGGGTGTTGGGAACTCAGCCCCCATCAACTGGAGATCAAGAGCCACAAGTAACCAAGGTGCCTTTTCACACTCTAGCTGACGGGGTTGGGGGCTAGGTTGTAGAGGAAAGAAGGCCCCTTTCTGCTTTTCTTGACTTTGGGCTTGTGTGGTTAGGGAAGGAGGGTGACAGACTAGAACACCAGGATCTGATGGTCTCAGGCACATCTCTCATCCAGTGGGGCCAGGCACCTACCCTGGATTGGGCTGGCCTAAAGGTGGCCCAAAAGCTTTTCAGCCCAGATAGTGGAAATGGGGGCTAGCAAATCTTTACCGGCACCCTCACCTGTGATACCAGGACCTGCCCCAATCCCAGATTCCAGGTAGTATCCTCTCCCATGCTGTCCAATGACCAAAGGCCCTGCCAGGTGTGGGCCATAGCAGCAGGTGTGTGTGAAAGCAATGTGGCAACCCTCAGACTACAGTGTGCTTAACCAGCTCACCTCCCTTCTCTTAGCCCAAGCCTATCCCCACACAGCCTCACACAAACCATGTTGCCTGGTGGGGCCCAGTGTACTTAAATAAAGTTGTTCCAATAGACACATGCAGGTCTCTGTCCGCAGCAGGTACTGGGTGGCAAGAGGGAGGAGCTGAGGGCCCTGAATCTGAAATGATGACTAGACCTAGTCCATCCTCTAGATGGCACTGTTGCCCCAGACAGACTAGCCGGGGCTTAGCCCAAGTCCCAACCTGTTAGGTGGATATAAGGAAGATGGATGGCATTCACACCAAAGCCCAGCTTTGGAAACGGGCCCAGCCCTGTGCACACACTCAAGCCCATGGATGAGACGCCACCCCAACTGAGGAGAGCAGCTCTTCACATCCTCTAAGTCAGAGACTCAAATCATGCATGTGGATACGAAGCTCTGGAGCTTATTAAAATGTAGTTCCTGGGGCCCATACTTAAGATACTCTGATTAATATTCTGTCCACTTTATACTTGGGAAAAAATTGCTAGGCACTTTAAAAATGTTAACCCATTTATCCTCCAGCATCCCTACAAAGTGAGTATTAAAGTTACCTACTTTATAGATGGGTAAATAAAGAGCCACTCTCTTGGCTAGGATTTGAACCCAAGCAGTATAGCCCGAAAGCCTACATTCTTGGCCACTGTGCAGACCCTCAGAAAACCACTGGCCTAGAGTACAGGTTCCCAATCAGGATCGAATTTGTACCCCCAGGATGCATTTGGCAATGTCTGGTTATCACAACTGGAGGGAGGAGGGGAAATGCTACTGGCATCTAGTCGGCCCAGACCAGGGATGCTGCTAACATCCACAACAAAGAACTATTGGGCCTCAAATGTCTCAGGTGTGGAGGCTGGGAAACACTCTCAGTCCCAGCTGCACAGTATAACCACCACACAGCTTTCCAAAACCCATCCCAGGCCAGACCCCAGTCCCATGGACTCAGAATCCTCGGGAAGAGAATTCAGACCAGCATCTTGGAAAGCTCCCCACGGACTCCCAAGGCTAAGGACCTCTGGCACAGAAGCGGCTGCTCTTCCCTGCCCACTGCGTTCAGCAGTAGGATCTGGGAAACGCACCACAGCCTGACTGCAGGCCGGAAGGTCAGTTTGCTCCCAGGCACCTACACGGCCAAGGTCCACGTGCTCTCCCCACCACCCCAGTGAATCTGATGTGAGTGCCTTCCCAACCCAGTCATCTCTGGGAAAAAACTCTCAGTGCTTCTCCTATTGCAGACTCCTGTCCCACCAACCCCACACACAACACAGACCTCAGAAATGGGAGTAGAAATAACTGACTTTAATCAGTCTGTGATGAAACAAACATCTTTAGAGGCTGGGTGGGGATGGAGGAGCCCTGCAGCAGCAGAGGCATGCTACCTCAGGCACAGCTGAAGCAGAGGACTCAGAAACCACTGGAAGGATAGAGGGAGAGGGCAGGTGGGACTCACAGCTTTCCCTGATTGGGTGAAATGGTTCCTAAGCCTGCATAGAGCGCCAGCCCCACCCAGGTAGTGGGATAGGCCTCTGTGCCACACAGCAACCCATGTGACTCCTCCCTTTCCGATCCTCTTTCTCCTGCCCCATAGGAGGAAGCAGGTCCCTGAGCATATATGGCCCAGCCCTTGCCCAAGCTGGGTTGGAGAAACAGGAACTGAGGCCTCAGTGGTGCTCCTGGCTCAGCCACAGAAGCTCCCACTCTGCCATCTGTCCTCCAGACTGCACCTTGGGAAGGCGAGGAGCAGGATGTCAAGCTGGCAAAAATGGCTTCTTCCCAAGGCAGCAAGCAGTGCCCTCAGCAGGGTGGCCTTTCCATACCTTTCACACTGTCTTAACGTCCAGGGTTTGGGCCCGTGACAGGTTCTGGCGCTGGGCTTTGACCACGTGCAGGCGCCTCCCATGCAGCGTGAACTGGGACCAGGTGAACAGCTGCAGCAGAGCACAGATGATGGGCACCAGCACCAGCAGGTAGAAGCAGCCCTGGCGGAGTGTCGGGGCCTGTGCTGGGGGTGGGGCCGGGGGCTCTGGCCAGGGCTGGGCACTCCCCACAGGGGCCAGTGGGGGCTGCTGGAAGAGGTCATGACCTAGGACGAGTGAGAGCACAGAAACAGCATCAGCCCTGGTCCCCAAAGTCTGCAATGCCACATCTCAAATATCACACGCACATGTTCAAACCACAATTCTTGATCCCTCTCCTAAACTTGCTTCTCCCATACCTCCCTTCTCAGTGAATGGCACCACCATCCATCCAATAAATTCAAAGTCCTCCTAGATTCCTGGGTTAACTTCGCCACTCCCAAAAGGCAATCTTTCCCCTCCCTGCAACTACGAAACACTTCTTTCCAGCCCTCCAGCACCACTGGCTTCAAGCCTCCATCATCTCTGCCACAGCCTCCCTACAGTCCATCCTGCTGTATGGAGGATGCATAAGACCATGTCACACCCCTGCTTAAGCCCCCCACACACGGCAATAGCTTCTCTTTGCACCGAGAATAAAATCCAAACCCTGCCCTGATCTAGAGCCACCTCCTCTTTTCCAGCCTCAGTTCCCAATCACTCCTGATCCCTTGGGCCTTTGCACTTGCCACTCCTTCTGTCTGGGATTCACTGAGATCTTTCTAGAACAAATCCTTGACATTCAGTTCACAGCCTGGTGTCACCTCCTCAGACAGACCTTCCTGACCACACTAAGTCGCTTCTCAGTCACACTGTCTATGTTTACCATTCCAGTTATCACTACCTGCTGTTACTGCCAACCTCACCCCCTCCCCCTGGCTAGAATACAGGTACCATGATGGTAAACACCTTATCTGTCTAATTCATTATCTTCCTAGAGGTGCTTAAAACAGCGCCTGGCAGAGAAGATATTCAACACATATCGAATGAATGAATGAATGAATGAGCAAGCTTTGGAAGAACAGAAGATCCAGAGACCCAGCTCCCCTGCCCCCATGGGGAGAAACAAAGAAGGACTGGCAGCCAAGGTGGCCCAGCCTGTCAGCCAGTTGCCATTCTCTCTCTCTCCCTGGACCCAGAGCCCAGTTGGCACACTGGGTAAGCTGTGCCCCCTGAAGCCTTGAAAGCCCCATGCCAAATCCTGGGCCCTCACCTGTGTAGAAGCACAGCAGCCAGGTGCCCAGCAGGGGGGCAAATGTCTGGCCTGGCTTGGTCACCAGGGCCACCATGCCAAACAGAAGTGCTGAGGCTGCCTGCTTGCGGTGGTTCAGCACCATGTCCTCATCCACCAGGTCAGTGACCACCAAGGTCAGCAGCTTACAGGTACCCTCAGTGAAGACACGGTTGCTGCCGGCAGAGAGAGAGAGCAGGCCGGAGTGAAGGGATGGGGCAGGGGCGGGGGCAGGGGCAGAACAAGGCATACCTGGCAATGAAGAGGCAGAGCAGGCCGTGGTGGTCGGGCCCAGCCAACAGCATGAGCAGGCTCAGGCCCAGCTTGAGCAGGAACAGCCCCTGCACTACAGTGTAGACGCCCCAGCGGCGGCACAGGGAAAGGAAGTAGAGGTTGTTGAGATGTGGAGCGACATAGGAGATGCCTGGAGAGAGGGGTGTGGCCTCATCAGGGGGCACAGCCACAGTGGCCACAATTATCCACATTTTAGCACTCAGAATCAGAGTTCACACTGATTGAACACCAACATGTGCCAGGCTCTCTGCTAAGAGCTGCACACCCTTTTATTTACCATTATCATTATCCCTGCTTTGTAGATGAGAAAAAGGCCAACGAGATTAAATAAACACACCCAAAGCCACATAGGAAATAAGCACAGAGTCAAAACACACTCAGGCCTGCCAGACTGTAATCCTCGCTGGCACCCAGCCACTGTGCCACACAACCTCTGGGTGGTACCATCACCAAGAGGACCACCATGAGGGCAGCCCCACCTTCCTCCTCCACTGGAAAACAGAACGGGGCACTGGAGCTGGAACCCCACAGCAGATTTTGCCCTCTGCACCCAGCCGGCCTGGAGACGTGGCTGTGCCTGCAACTGGACTAAGAGTTCTGGGGTGCAAGTCCCTCTCCTTCCAGTCTGCCTGAGCCACCACTCACCCAACAGGAAGGAGCCTGTGGAGAGGGAGATGTGGTCTGACAACAGGTGCTCCAGGAAGAGGGGGAAGAAGTTGCTGTTGAAGTGGCAGTGAAACACCTGCAAACCAAGAGGGGCAGTGAGGAGTCGCGGGCCCAGCGAGACGGCACATATGGCCTGTATTCCCATGCCCCTCAACAAGAAACGTGCCAGAACAAAACCTAAACCCAATTCTATTGCTTATTGAATTTTGCTGAGTTAGAAGGAATGATAAAATTGTCATTGGAACAATTGAACGTTTTTCCTTTTCAATTCAAAACACCTTAGTAAAACAAACTTAAGGACATAAAAACAATCTGTTTCTAAATTTTGCTAGCTTATATACTATGTTTTAGGTATGGTACTTGGTGTCATATAAACATTGTCACAGAGTCCCCAAAAAGATATGTCTTTTTCATATCCTCACTTTGTAAGTGAGGACACTGCTGCCCTGAGAGACAGACCTGCCTAGAACCACACGGGGGGTTAGGAGCTCAGATGGTGCTAGAATCCAGGACTCCTAACTACATGACATGTATTCCTGCCATCCAATCACCAGCAGTCCTCCTGCAAGGCCCAGAACTGACTTCCCAGGCTTGAGGGGCCTGTTCCCTAGAGTGAGGCATACCCCAGCCATCCTGGGTAGGGAGTGAGGGACTGCTCCCATACCTGCACCAGGTCCATGCCCACGAACCACAGGAAGTTCCGGTGCTGTGCCAGCTGCCGCAGGTACTGACCCAAGGTGATGCTGCCTGGCTCCTTGCCACCGACAAGCAGCTCCTCTCCACATATGCTACAGGGCAGAGGGTTGTCAAGAATGGTCTAGGGGATGAGCTGGAGCCACTCCCAACCCCAGGGCAGTCACCCATCCACACCAACACTGAAATCACCCTCGGAAGAACACAGCAGGAATGAGGAAGGTGGGGGCTGGCCACTCACCCGCCATCCACAGCCAGGGCTGGGCACTCCGGCTCCCTGTCGACTGCCTCGACCCGCCGCCTCAGCAGCTGTGTGGCCCCCACAAAGCCCAGCCCAGAGCCAGCGGCCAGGGCCACACAGAAAGCACGGAAAGAAGAAAAGTCCTCCTTGTTCCAGAACGCGTAAGAGGCAAAAACAGAGAGGGAGCCAGCTGCACTGAAGAGGGAGCAGTAGAAGTTGAGGTGGGTGCGGTCATGGGCTGAGAGGGCCAGGTCAGCCAGCAAGGCATGGTGGTGCAAATCCACGAGGGTCAGGAAGCCATCATAGAGGCACAGGCACAGCAGGAATTGCAGGCCAGCTGGGGCCCAGGGCACCCAGAATGCCAGGAATGCCAGTGCCAGCAGCGGCCCATGCCAGCTCAGTGCCTGTACCCGTGCCAGCACCACAGCCCTTGAGGAGAGCCCAGCACCCGACCTGCCAGGGAAAAGAGGGCTATGGCGAGATGCCTTTGCAGTCTTGCAGGCTCTAGGTCCCCTGGCCCCAGGCCCTAGGCCTCAAGAGGAGGGATAAGGCCCAGAATGTAGACTCACAGCAGGGTGGTCCCACTGAGCCCTGAGTCCTCAGCCTCCAACTTAAGGTATACCCTCTTCTGGCTCCCTTGCCAGCATGCCAGGAATAATGGCCAAAGGGTGGTGGGGTGCCCATATCTCAGGGCTGGGGGCACTGATGGGACCAAGCAGGAATGGGGTAATGGAATCCATCAGAAGCAGCTGAGTGTTTGCTTACAGTGCCCAGTCCTAAGGGCCCAATAGGCCAAGGAGGGGTAAATCTCTCTCTCCAGGCAAGTGAGCCAATAATTAGTCAGGGCCTCTCTCCAACCTGGACAAAGCCTGCCTGGCCTCAGGAAGGGAGGAAGCCTGAATGATAGCTGAAGTCATTTCCCCACCCCAAACACAGGCAGGGCTCACAGGTGAGCTGTCCCTAGGACACAAACCAGGGCTGGGAGCTGAGGAACTGACGGTCACTCAGCCAGCCGAAGAGGGGGTCGTTGAGGCTGTTCCAGAGAAGAAACACCGTCTGTGGGCAGAGGGATGATAGGGCAGGTGGGCTCCAAGCAACCCCCTCTCCAGGGCTCTCCCTACCCCAGCCTGCTCATCATCCCTCAGAGATGACCACAGCTTTCCTGCCTGCAAACCTTTGCTCACGCCAGTCCCTCTGCTAAAACCCACTCCACTAGCCACTGCCCCCATCAAACTCCCACCCATCCAGGGCCCAGATTATAAATGCATCCAGCTGATAAATTAATATATGTGAATATATTACAATCTATTACATATGTGAATACATAGAACAAAATAGCTCATAGGCCAGTGGCCAGGACAGCTGGTGTAATTCCCACTGAAGAGAGTCATCAAAGCCTCCAGCTTCAGCTTTTCTTACTTAGTCTCAGTGGGCAGCCTGGCCTATCCCATGCTTCCGACTGGGTGGGACCCAGCACAGCATTCCACCCGGCTCCCACCCAGGCTGGCCACCCCAGTGCTGGCCTACCTCTCCGACCCAGAAGGCAGCCTTGTTGATCTTGTACACTGAGACAAAGGTGTCCACATAGTAAAGCAGGAACACATTGTGCAGGACAGAGATGAAGAGGGCCAGGGAGCCATAGACCACAGCCATAGGCAGGCCCAGCATCCAGGCTGGGGGCCCGCCCAGCCCCATGGCTGCCCGCCCAGCCTCAGCCGCAGGAGCACTGAGGAGTGCTCATGGTCATGGGCGGTCTGGCCACCTCTGTCCCTGGGGAAGAAGGAGCCAGTTAGCTGCAGGGATCAGAGCCAGCTCTGTTCCTGACCCCAGACCTCTGAGTCATTTAAAGACTAATTTCCACTGGGAGAAAGTTTGTACGAGAAACAAAGCTGGAGAATCACCAAGGATATCATCTGTAACAATGCTAGACTAGATACCACTACCCGAGAGTAACCCAAAGAAACTGATAAAGGCGTGGGAAAGACGGGGGCAGACATCCAACAAGCGCTGAGCAGGTCGTGTGCTCAGGTGGTGTGCTCACATCACCTGACCTCAGTGGTCCGGGTGTGACTGCTCGGGGCTTGGACACACAATGTATGTTCAGTATAAAAACCTCAGGCAAGCTACTTAACCCATGCCTCAGTTTCCTCTTCTGTAAAAGAGAAAAGGAGGATGATCATTCCTACTCTGCAGGGGAATGTGAGGATTAAATTAGGTACTCCACAGAAAGTGCTCAATAAATGCATGTTGGTGGTGTCATAATGACCTTTATAAAATCCCTAGTTTATAGCACTATTACAATGTTATCGAGAAGCAACCCCAAGCTCAGAAATGTTAAGTAATTTTCCCAATATCACACAGCCAAAAAGCAGCAGATTTGAACCCTGGCTTGTCCAGCTCCAGAGCCTTTTCTTCCCCTTGACTTCCCAAATCGGGTTCCTATGCACTCCTGCATAGAATGGAAAACCTGCTGCCAGGTCAGGCTCCATAGGTGTACAGGAGTGGTAAGATGTGGTAAGAATCCACAACTGCTCACCCACTTTGATTCTGGAAATCCCACCTCAGGAAACTAACCCCAAAGGAACATTAGAGAGGTTCATGGCAGCAACATTTATCAACAGCAAAAAGTTGGACACAGCCCAAGAATGCAACGAAGGTACTGGCTCAGCAAGCCTGATGCTCTCTAGAAAAGGCAAGTGCATGGGCGACCTCAGCACATGGGAGAGAACCTCAAGAGCATGTTGCATGAAGAAAGAGAAGAAAGGACTCCGTGGGTACCTGGCTTCCAACCAGGCCAAACTGTGCACAGAGACTGGCAGGCTAGACTGACCACAGGTGGGAAATTAATGCCAGATTTTTATTAGAGCAGTTCTCCAATTATAAGATGTTTTCAAGTCTGTTGAAATGTAGATTTTGACTCAGTAGTTCTGGGGAGGAATCTGAGATTCTGCATTTCTAACAGGCTCCCAGGTGACACTGGTGCTGCTGGTCCCTATGTCTGTCTCTTTTTTTAGATTCAAAGCAGATGTTCTCTTTTC